AAAAAAAAAAAAAAAAAAAAAAAACTGTCTTTGATAATACCTGAATTAATGTTGGTAAGTAAATTTTATAGGAAGCCACTGATTTGGACTCAGGTTAACAGGAGGCCAAATAGACCAAACTGAAACAGACTCTTATGCTGAAGTTCTATAACACCGAGAAAAAACTGAGTTGTTTATCTGACCTTCCTAAAAGATAAGAGACAAGAATAGCCAAATGTCCAAAAAAACCAGTTTTGCCAGCATGATAAGTGAAGTTCCCTATTTTACAAGAAAATCAACTTTGAAATGAGCAATCCACTTTTTGTTGTTTCTGTTTTCTTCAGTCTTTTGCACCTATAAAGCTGACCTCCTAGACATCAGAACATTCTATTTTATAGACCTAGGCACTGCCCAATTTCTGAATGGCAAATAAAACCTAGTTAAGAAAGATGTTAAAACTAAATTTGTTGTAATTTTGTCTTTTTTTTTAAGCTTTTAAATTTGTATTTTATATACAAAGAGTTAGCATGGTCCCTTTCATTGAGTGGATGGATATCCTGAATAATCCACTGAAGGAAGATCACTTAGTCCAAACTGATAAAGCCAATATCCTTTGCATACTGACAGAAACACTGGCAGCACATTTCTGAATTAGACCATGTAGGTTTAAGCAGATATGGCAAGAGCAAGAGCCCTAGCCAGATTCCTCAGGTGACTCCAGCAGAGCTGCTGATGACCCAAGATGCTTCCACAGGTACAAGGAAGCAAAGCTTTTTTTTTTTTTTTTTTTTTTTTTCCAGACAAGCTCCTCCTTTGTAGTTCAAACTGGCCTTGAATTTACTATGTAGCCCAAGCTCGTCTCTCCTGCCTCAATCTCTAAAAGGCTGGGATTACAGGCATGCACCACTGCACCCAGCAATGTAGTTCTGTCCTTTTTAATGCTATTGAAGTGACTCACAGTATAGCACCAAAACAGTATCAGGATGAAGCAATCACTAAAAAGAGCAAGTTATTAGAGGATTAGTGGGTCATAACTTTCAGCCTGACTTACCCATCTCCAGGAAAGCAGGACTGGGGGTACCAAAGATCAAGCTTTATAAAAACTCTTATACAATATTTGATGAGTTTGTGAGTTACTGAACATGGAATGGTGGGAAGGTGGTATACCCAGAGGACACAGAAGCTCTTGCCACCCGCACTCCTCAAACTTTGCCCTATTCATCTCTTCATCTGTATCTTTATAATATCCTTTACAATAAACTAGCAAACTTAAGAAAATGTTCTCTTGAGTTCTATGCATGAATCTAACAAAGTAATTGAACTGCAAGTCAGGCATTGTGGGAACTCTGGTTTGTATCTGATCAGTAAAAAAAATAATCACTTGTGAAGTAAGTATCTTATGGAATCAAGTCCTAGGTCTATGGGATCTGATAGTACTCCCAGGTAGCTAACTTCAGTGTGAATGGAATTATACAGCACAGAATGGGTGGAGAGAATCCAAACACATAACTACGGTCAGCAAAGTGTGTTGTCAGTGAGTACAAAATACATGGGGTAAGAAAGTAACTTGTTTTTTCCTCTTATGGAGGAAAGAATAAAATCTTTGCTGTTAAGTCAGCTCAGGGTTAAAATTTCAGTTGTTACTTCCTATATTTACCTTGATCAAGTCACTAAACCTCTCTAAGCCTCTAAAATCTGGACATGTCACCTACTTCACAGAACTGCTGTGAGAACAAAGATAACCTACATAAATCACTTCAATCTAGACATATAACAGGGATTTTAGAAATATTTCTAAATACTTCCTTCTCTTTCATTCAACAGATGTTATTCAATGCTGTCTCCTGCATGATAAAAGGTGCAGCACTTACTACAATACTTGTCACTCTCTAACTGGGTAAATTCAGCACACAGCTAACTTATCCAAGTAAAAATTAATTCTTCCTTCTTATCAAAACATTGAGGGGG